AATTAACCACAACAATAACACAGATATGCATGTGTGTGTATACATATGCTTTTCCTATTACATATGTAAATTATATACAATATATATCATATACACACTTTAGCATTATCATCTAATGATTGTCCAGAATTGATGGTGATAATGAAAACAAATATGAACATCATGATGTCTTGAAAAGTACGGATAGTTTGACACTTTCCTCTCAAAGCTTATCCTATTCTTTTAACAGAGTGGAAAATCAAACATTATATCAAATGATTTGTCTGTCATCTATTTTCTGTATTTGGGAGGCATAAGAGTGTTTATTCCACGGGGGGGAAGATGGCTTAAAAGGGAGTCAGTTGGAAGGAAAGAAGCAAAAGTAGCCTGGATAATCCATAAACTGACCAGACGGTATCTGAATAAATCAAGAGATGGTGTTGCATTAAAGAATTCAAAGTATCATTTCCAACTTGTGATTTCTACAAATATTGGATTCAATCCAAACTGGATTTTAAAAGCAGATAAAGAAAGCCAGAATTAAATAGAGGCCTGGGGGATGTCACCTATTCTGAATCACTTCCAAATATCAATAGCAGAAAAAAAAAAAAAAACATGGTGCTTAGAGTATAGCAACTTTCTGAACCCCCTAAACTAGTAAGAGATTGGCCAGAAACATTCATGAAATTATGCTGGAAGAAAAAGCAATCATCAAAAAAAAACTCAGAGAACAAAAGAAAAGAAAGAACACGTTTATGTTGCAAAGTTAAACATCAAATCAGCTTTTCTGAAACACTTTGGAGTCTAAAAAGCAAGCATACAAAATGCATTTTGAAGCTTTTCCATTTAAGTGTAGGTTAATATGTTCCATGTGCCATTTTGAATTTCGGAAGAAGACCACAAAAAATACACTATTAAAAATGCTTACAAAAGCAAATATCTTCAAATCTCTTCATTATTTTTTTTCTAAAATAAAAACATAATTTAGCCATATAAGCTTTAAGAGAAAATGTTTATTTTTTTTCCCAACTTTACTTGCCAGAAAACCACCACACTGTTTGTAATAAACACTTCAGTTTATGGATGAAGTCAAATCCAACCTTATGAAATGAGATCTTATAAAGGAAGCTGAAGTTTCAGTATGGAGAAGGCTACAGCAGGCAAAACTTGTCATACCACGCCCCCTGCCCTCAGACCACCAGAAATATCTATTAGGTTTTGGGGCCTTGCTGCTTTTAAAGAGTTTTGTCAATAAGTTATCATAAATTCCTGGCTAAAAAATGATTAGGTACTTAACCTAAGAATTTAAACTAAGAACGAACCATAGAATTAAATTCAAGCTCAAGAAATTTCAGGAAGACCATCACAAAGTTATGTTTGATCTATCTACCTTTCAATAATTCAACCTAAAGTGTGATTTACTACCGGTCCAAAAATGAATTAAATAATCCTATTTAACATGCAAATAAATTATAAGATAAGAGGCTCCAAGACAAACAGGCAGTAAGGGTTAACAGTCGCTTACAAGACTATCTTTAAAGGAGGGAAAGACACAATGAGTCTTACGACTACAATCATGTAGACAAAACACAAGGTCATCGGCTTTTCAAACAGTAGCATGCTAGCTAACTGATTAACAAAAAATTGTAGCAGCCAGATTCCATTAGTAATGATCAAGTGACTTTTTATGATTTTGTTTTCAAAATATGGGGAAGAAAGAATAGTCTACACCTAGTGTTGTTATTTATGATGGTTTCCCTATACAAAGTTTTGTCCTAAAGTAGGAAAAGGTTGGCATTCTATTTTCTTAATCTGCTGGCTATATTTTTAAATAAATTATAGAGTTAAATGATATATTTGCTCTCTATTCCAGACTGGATGCAATTGATTTTAACTGACTAAATTATCTGATCTCTGCCAAGAATTTTATTTCATTAAGAAAATGATATTATGGAGCATCTGAGATCATAGAGCAGACTAAACATAATGCCAAAGGAGTTCTGAGAATGCTCCACAGTGAAGGTTTGATTATTTGCAGATGGAATATGAAGGGGAAAAAGAGAGAGTGAGAATTAAGGTCCCAGGCATTAGCCTACCAATCCTGGTACCACTGCTGCCTACATCCTAGCATACAGCCAAGAAAATAACTGATCTTTTAAGTCTCAACACCTTCTCTTTCTTTATGACACTGATCACTTTTCTTCCTAGAAAGTAATGTTTAACCGACACTATCCAAAACAAAGGGAAAGGGGGAAATGTTGGTACCACAATAGACTCTTAACATGCAAACCGTCACTGCTGACATGATTTGGCGAGTAGTCAAGCATTCACCAAGGAACTAATTTAAATCAATCTCCTTTGGGAAAGCCAATTGTCTGGTATGTGCAACAATCGGTGTAGGATCAATCAGTGGACATGAGATCAATTAAAACCAGCTTAAGTTTGTGAAGAGGGGCAATTCACACAACTTGAGTTAGATCTCTATTCATTCCAATACTCTCATAATGCAACCCCTAAGCTTCCTTGCAAAGCAGAAACACTACTATCACCCTACACTGTCTAGCCAGTCCTTAAGTAGTTCCACTTTTAATTAAAAACACAGTACATCCTTTGTTGGTAAAGATAGTGTGGTCACTTTTAAGACCAGTTATTTTAGCCAGAAACTTGGGATTTAGAAAGGGACATCTGTTGAGAAAGAAAGGTGGGGGTGGGGGGTGGGGGGGACTTTGATAGATTTTTTTTTTTTTACAACCTTACCAATTTACATGTACTTGAGAGTATTAGAATTTTATTGAAATGAAAGATTGGTTTGGCACAAGTTATTACTGCACACTTTAGAATTGGGTTTCTCAATTTTAGTCTTTGGAGATGTGGATTTGCTTAAGCAAGCTTTGAAACAAGTAGATTTTGCCTCAGCTACCTAAGGAGGCATAGGCAGAACTGTAGAGATGGCACTGCTGAGACATGCCTGCAGTATTGCTTCTGGCCGCAGGAGTGCTGTATTATCACTCTCCCTCCACCAAACAGCATCCCTGCATTCAGTTTACTTAAATGGTATGTTAAGTTTTTCTCCACTCAACCGCACTGGGACAGGCATTGTGGATCAGAAAATGACCACTAAAATTAATATGCCACCTAATAAGCAAACAAAAGTTTGCCAAAGAGTTTTTATTTCCCTATTTCATAAATGTTAAACACTGTAGCTTTTCAACCAAACATGTGACAGCCTCTGATTGTAGGACAGGGAAAGGCCTCTAACAAACGCTTGACCACAGTGTAATCAACAATGGTGGCTCGAAGAATCATTGTTGTTGTTGTTGTTAAGTGCCATCGAGTCGGGTCCGACCCCTAGCGACCCTGTACAGGGTTTCCGAGGGTGTAAATCTTTACGGGAGTAGAAAGCCTCATCTTTCTCCCGCGGAGCAGCTGGTAGTTGAGATAAATTACTGGGGTAGAGAAAAGAATCAGTTGGGAGGGAGAAGGAGTCAGGAAAAGGCGGTATCAGTATCAAATTCACATAGCCTCTGGGAAGAATTTTCTCCAGAATGCTTTTCTGAAAATAAGCATTTTCCTGATGTCAGAAAGGAGGAAGAGTAGAAAGAGCTGTTCATGAAGTGTGGGTCCATCATCCACTGGAGAGCAGACACTACACAATCGCCTGTCACCAGAGAGCTCAAGCTTTGCCAACCTCTAGCCCTGCCCATAGGTGATACCAGCTTAAGGATGTCCTAAAAAGCCATCAATAAATAAGAATATGATGAGCCTTTCTCCAAAGTCTGAAATGCATAAAATAAGTTATAAACAAATCATCTTACAGGTCCAGTGATAGGTTATATCCCAGGAAAATCAAGACCTGTTAACCTAGCGACCAATTCTCACTTCAGAGAATTCCAATATTGGATATAGACGGGGTTTCCCATATGCCACTTTCTATGTGCAAGAATTGCAAGGCGTGTGTTTGTGTGCCTGTATGTGTCTGTGAGAGAAAGAGAGAGGTCTATGATTAAATCCTCCAGGTTTAATTGCGTCTAGCATTCCTTCTCCTAAAATGTTATTGGATTAGCTGCGGCCCCAGAAGGACTCAGAAAGAAATACACACGCACTAAATCTGCAAGAAAGCTAGCTCTCTGAAACCTCTCTGGAGGCTTCCACTCCCCGAACCCGCTGCGCACACAAGTGATGGAGAAGCAAGAAAGTAGTTCAAGAGCCGCAAGTGAATTTCCTTGGGAGCAAAAACCACTCACCGAAATAGGTGCTTTTGAAGAAGCAAATGGAGGCTACAACAGAGTGGGACCAGTCTCAAAACATCAACTTGGCAGATGAGACTTCCCAGAAAACTAGCACATGAGTTGCCACTCAATTGAGAAAAGTTCAATACAGTAAATTAAACTAAGAAGCTGAGAACCACCTGGTCTCAGGTTCTTAGGGAACAATATTGCCCTTTCCCTGAAACGCGGGTCCTCCACCTCGACTTGATACCTAACCCCAGCTCCAACGCTCGCTCGCTCTCACTCACACACACACACGTGTGACGAGAGAGGCCAGGTCCACGACGATCTGGGTTAGAATTCTGTACTCAACGTGGGTGACTTGGGAAGATAAAAGTGCTGTAGGCGCGATAGTTAAAAGAACAAAACTAAGCAAAAGAAGATAAAGAGAAAACCAGAGATTGGTAAGTGGGGGAGGGGTGTGGGAAGATGTCAGATAAGAAATGCGACCCAAAACGAGAAGACTGTGACTGGAGGCGGTGCTGTGAACGTGGGTGTGAAAGGCTTTCGGTCCGTGCGCCGGCGGGACGCCCAGCTCGTGCTGCTAGCTGCGCTGCTGCGCGTCACGCTCCGGCGCTGCCGGCCACTGGCTACTGCGGAGCGGGGCCAGGAGAGTGAGGGCTGGGGAGAGCAAGAGCGACGGTGGCGGGCACGGTCCTGCCCTGCTGAGACCTTGGGAGTCCCGGGCAAAAGGGGGCAGCGCTCCCCACCCTACCCCAGGCCCCCACGCACCTCCAGCAGAGAGGGACCCACCTCGCTTGCTGCGTCTCCATCGGTTGCCTTGGCAGTGACTGTAATCCATACAATTCAAGATGATGAGGGCAAAGGAGAAGAGGCGAAACTGCATCTGGGCGGTCGGGCGGGGGAGAGAGGTCTCTCAAAGTCGAGGAACTGGAGAGCTCATCCGAGGAGCTAGCCGCGCTGTTGAAGAGGACACAGTGGAAGAGCGCCAACAACCCGGGGTCCGTACTGGTCAGTTCAGCGAGACCAGCATCTTTCCGCCATGAACCTGCGAGACCAGAGAGCGAGAAGCAGGGTGGGTAGGGGGTGGAGAAAGCCGCGGGGAGGCTGCTGCGCTTTCCTGCGTCCCAACTTAAAGAAGGGGCGGGAGCGAGCACACAGCCTGACATGAGCCGCCAGCCGGCTTAACCTAGCGCACAGCTGCCCGCGATTTGGAGAGGAAGGTGATTACAATCAGTGAATTAGCAACCTCTCCAGAGCCCTAGGCTCAGACCCGGGGCAAAAGCCTCGCGCGGGCCCTTCAGGGTAACTAAAGAACCGCAAGACACAGTGTCAAAGGAGCTCTCTTGAGCTCTAGGTCCCACGGTGGGGTCCTTGAGCGTAGGGGTGGCGGCCGGGCGCGGTTCACCTACCGTGCGCACGTACGTCTCCGGCGGCGCGGCGTGCCTAGCCGCTGCGCTCCATTTCGGGCTCTGGGAGCCAGCTGCCTAGCTAGCACGTGGGCTGAGGAAAAGTTTGCCGGGACTCGCAGGGAGCTCCTGGCAGCTCCTGGATTGCAGCGATTGCCACGGGATCTGCGTGCACCAAGGGTCAGCCAGACAATCGGCGCCTGACAGGAGCGCAGCGAAGCCCGAGCGGGCGCGTCCGCAGCTACTGGGATGCTGCGTCCCAGCCAGTGAGTCCGAGCCCCAGTGAGAGGCGCGCCCGCTCTAGCTGTCTGCGTCTCTAGCCAATCTTGCCGTTTCCCGGGCTCTCTTTTTCCACTCCACAGCTAACGTCAAGATTTCTGTCTTTCCAGGCGGGGAGAGACAAGGCTCCCGGGAGGCCGAGGGGCTGTGGCGAGTGCAATTTCCGATGGAGATGCGGAGGGGCTGAGGCTCGGGATGCTTCTATAAGTAGGTGGTGCTGTGGTCCAAAGCATCTAAGTCTAGACTGCCGCGGAGTTCCTGGGTCCTAAAGCCAGAAATGCTTTGGTTTCCCTGAGGTCCTAAAGAACGTTGACCACCTATAGAGAACCTAAACCCAGCGGAATCCCCTCTACGCTTTCCAGGAGGGGTGGCTAAAGTGAAGACTGACTGGGATGGGGACGCCCCCTGTCTATGCTGGACCCCGGAACCCCGCTGTCTTACCTGCAAGGCATCTTCTTAGGATCAGTTCAGAGCCTCAGCACCACTTTCCTGCCAGGGAATCTGATTAGCTGACAGATGGACTTTGCAGAGACCTTCCACTGCTGCTTCTGACAGGCAGTTTAAACTTGAATCGCCTCCTGAAAGTTGCCATTCCTCTGCCACTTTTTAATTTATATCTTGGCTCTGTGTTTTATAGGAAGTTGTGCTAGCGAAACTAGCAGATTTAAAGCAAGATCTTCGTTTAAGAAGTGTAAAGTAGATTTTCAATAGCGTTTGCTTATCCTCAAAAGTGTTATTTCATAACTTTGTTTCTCGTGCAGGAAAATGTATTTCTTTTTAAAGTGTGATCCCTTGCTTACATTCCTAAAGGAATTGAGGCTTTGCATCGTTCAAGTAAAGTCCACTTTCCTATGAAGTGTTTCTTTCTCATTCTATCCATCCACCTGCCCTACTCCGCCCCTCCCCCCCCCAGTCTCTTGAAGTAAACTTTATGTGCCCTGAGTATGGGCAAATACTCTTTGTGTCAAATATTTGATGATACCCTATTTCATTGTGATGACTAGATTCATTACTGTAAGGGAAGAATGTATACCTACTCCTTACCTAACAATTAGTTATCTGACATTTCACATTTATGACAATAGTATTTTATGTATTAACATTGTACTTGGGGAGTATAATGCTTGCTGTGATGGTTAAAGGTTTGTGTCAACGTACTTGGGCCAAGATTCTCAGTAATTTGGCAGTTATGTAATGATGTCATTTTTTTTTTTTTTTACAGTTACGTAATGAAACTACCAGTCGCTCCGCGGGAGAAAGATGAGGCTTTCTACTCCCGTAAGGATTTACACCCTCGGAAACCCTGTACAGGGTCGCTATGGGTCAGACCCGACTCGATGGCACTTAACAACAACAACAACAACAATGACATATAGTCCTCCTCCATTTTTGCATAATGCCAAGTTTTGCATACAACCTGGTCTTTGGAAGCTAACCTTGTCAATAAGTGAGGATTTATATTGCTAAATAACATCCTGGTGTGGCGCTGTGGGTTAATGCACCATACTGCAAAGCTGTTTGAACTGCAAGGTTGGTGGTTCAAGCTCCCCAGGTGTGGCGCTGTTTGTTAATGCACCAGACTGCAAAGCTGTTTTGAACTGTAAGGTTGGCAGTTCAAGCTCCTGAGGTGCTCCTGGAAAACCCCATACAGGGTTGCTATGGGTCGGAATGGACTGAACAACGGCACTGAACAACAACAATGGCTAAGAGGTTTCTTATAAGTATCCTCTTATTATGTTAACATGTTATACTACTTAAATTCCCTTTTCTATTCCTCTAGTTTCAGAAGATCATATATTTGGTAACTTGAGATAATTGTATATTGGAAGAAGAACCGATGTTAGAATAAGCATTTTTATTGACTATCCCATTATGGCCTCACCATACTGTTTTACAAGTATTACTGTTTCATAGTAATACTTATATATAACAATTCCAATGTCTTTCCTTTTATGCATAACACTCAAATAAATCTGAGTTGATATTACCAAGCCCATTTCATAGATAAGAAAATTCAGCCCCAGAGACTGGCCCACAGTCCATAAAATGCATTGCAGAAACAATGGGTCTGTTTCTCTGCTTACTGTATCCTGGATTTTTATTGCAGAATTTGGGTTGACTTTCAGCCTGCATTGTGGACCAGCACATTGCATATCCCAGTGGTATCCCAGTGAATTCCCTTCCCCAGCATCCTAAATACCCCTCCTCCTGAGTACATGCATATCTACCAAATTTATTACACTTATGAAAGAAATAAATCCATGGAAGAAAACAGATTTCTCTAAAGAAGTCCCTGTTTTCATGCAGTTTTGAGATCCATTCAAGATTCTAAGTGTCCTGTAAGATGCTGAAAGGCAAAAATAAACAGAACAAGTCAATTCAGCTCTGTCCTTAACCACCTATGTTGTTTGGGCAATTCTCTAGATCTCATTTTCTTCAACAGTATTTTCAGGAATTTAGGTCAAACTTCCTTTCCTTTTTACCATATTCTAGTTTTCAATCAAGTTTCTAACAGGAAGTTTGCTATCCGGCCTAGCCTGTACTAGGACGAACTCATCAGCGGAGGTTTCTCTATGTGGAAATATGAGGGTTAGGCCATTGTCATTCTTACTTCAATTTTCAGAATACATTCAACTTTTTCTCTTCGAAGGTTAACTTTCCAAAATTTTCGTCATTTGGGTTGCACAGTTTGGCCTTTTGTTTTGTTTTAAACCAGATATCCTTTTCAGGTAAGTGAACCTCTAGGCCCAGTTCATGAAATAAATTTTAATAGCACCAATTCTGTGGAAGTTTGGTTAATGCATTTATGCCATCCATGGGAGATTTTATCTAAGAATACATAAAGAAACGCTCAGTTTGTCATATGTAAACTCATTTAGCTAATTGCAAGTTAGGCGTGGCATGGCACACACAGAGTCTAGAATTAACAACTGCAATGTTCGTTCAGTGATTAGAACCCAAATCTTTAGATTTCCTGGAGAAGTTGTCTTGGGAAGAGGACTTGAAGACAGCTCGGACTCAGAGTAGGCACTTCCCCATAGCTAAGGTGTGAGGTCAGATGCAGCAGGGGTGATATCTCAGCAGGCTCTCAAGTCTTTAGAGAGCCACCTTTTGCTACCACTTCTCCAGTAATGTAAGGTTTATATGTGATTTTCTCACCTTGGCTTCACATAATAAAAGCCAACTCATGCCCTGCTTAACCAAGACTAATGTGTTAAATTGTTTCTTCAGTGTGGCCAGATAGTGCAATGTTGCATCTTTCTTCAAGATTAGAGATCAGGAGGTATGTTTATGATGTACTTATGTCTCATGGCCACCAGATAGGAAGTTAGCTCTAAGCTACATTTTTTTTAATTACAGCATACAGGTGTTTGGTTCTCTTAGAGGCGTTGTTTACTACATACCTCACATACTTGTAGTTTTCTATTTCTAAGTTCAGAAATTCTCTATTTCTAACACCACATTATAAGTGATTTACACAACTGGGGCTACAGAAAGCATACATGATAATCATATGTGATTGGAGAGCATCACAGAATCTTATGTGATTTAAGAGCATTACTTAGACATACCTAACAGTTTAATAAAATAAGGACAGGCTCTGCAAAAATAGAAGATGCCTGAATCCTTTCTTGTGATCATTTCTGGCTTGTCTTTGCTCTTTTAAAGGACACCACTAAAATTCAAACTCTAAGTAACAGTTATAGGGGTGCTTAGTTGCACACGTAACTTCTTGGGAACCAATTTATAGAGAACACAAACCTCTTTGGGGGGGCAGGGCATCACTGAATATTTCTCTTAATTTCAAGAACCCAAGAATATGCTTCCTACTAAAAAATATAACCTTAGTGGATCCTAAACTATCATTAACTTTAATCCCATATCTCTGCTTCTTTTCAGTTCTGAACTCTGAATGTGTTGTTGAGGCTCAGAGCTCAGAGCTTCTCTGTTTTGGAACTTCATATACTCTTTCTGTAAACTGAGTTTAGAGGTGGTGCTTTCAGTAAGCTAGCTTTCAAAATAGGCATGGGCCTGGTGTTTGTTTACAGGGCAGCCTAGTGGTGAGGCTGATTCCCTAAGACTCAATGGCAGTAGAGGAGGGTAACTGAGAGCGGGGATAAGGATGCAGTGAAGGATGCAAGGCATTCTTTCTCTTGAAAAATTTTTTTCAAACTGTACTGCTTTCATACAGTTCAAAATTCAATTTTGACAAAAGAGCAGAATGCAGAGTCTGCTCACTGATAATATGATTCTTTACATAGAAAATTCCAGAGATTCCACAAGAAAGATTCTGGATCTAATAGATGGCTTTAGCAAAGTGACAGTGTACAAGATCAACTCTCAAAAATCAACAGGGAGAACTCTGAAAAGGAAGTCAAGAAACAGTGGCATCTACAATAGCCCCTTGTTGTTAAGTGCCATCGAGTCAGTTCCGAATCATAGTGATCCTGTATAGGGTTTCCAGGGAGCAGTTGATGAGTTTGAACTACCAAACTTGAGGTTCAAACTGACCTCACAATCTAGCATTTCTCCTACAAGGCCATACCAAGACAATAGCCCCTAAAAGGATAAAATACCTGGGAATAAATCTAACCAAGGATGTAAAAAGACCCATAAAATGAAAACTATAAAACAGGAAACTAAAAGTACCATCATAAAACAACATTTCATGCTCATGGAATAGAAGATTTAATGTTGCAAAAATATCAATACTACCCAAAGAGATCTACAGGTATAATGCAACCCCAATCCAAATTCTGGAGTCCTGGTGTGGGGCTGTGGGTTAATGCACTGAACTGCAAAGTCAGTTTGAACTACAAGGTTGATGGCTCAAGCTCACCAGCTGCTCCTAGGAAACCCTATACAGGGTTGCTATGGGTCAGAAT